ACTTGATACTAAATGTATAAAAAAGTAAAAACAGAAACTTTTAAATCAAAAATTGTTTCTGAAAGTTATGCTGCCTTTTATACAGCGCCAGCAGCTACTTTAACTACCGCAGTTGTACCGCTCGTCTTCTACTTAACTTCTCAAAACTAAGTGAACGTTTCTGGTTGTCAAGACATCAATACTTCATAGAAAAGACAGACTCCCCAGTTTAATAATTAAGGCAATGCAACAAGCATTTTTCAAGTGTTATAAGGGTTTCAGTTCATTAATAACAAACCTCTTGAAGCCAACATAACAGATATTCACAACTTAGCCACACTAAAAAAGAGATGCCTAAAAGCCAAGTGAGCTAAAATGACACGAAATTCGTATTGTAAAAAGATAAAGAAAATGTAATTTAACAAATGCACTCTATGAAATTAGCTATAGCAGTGACTAGACAAATATAGACTGAAAGAAATGTGAAACCCATTTGAGTCGGAAATCAGTCCAAAATTTACAGCAATTAAAAGTGCTTTTAGAAAATAGCATGTTATGTCACTAACAATTTAAAAGGACAGGAATAAAAGAGGAAGAACAGAAAATTAAACAGCAGTAAAACTAATATAACAAAAAATCTCCTTTCCAAAGTCTGGTGAGATATATTTATAAATACAAAGTTCCACTCTAAAGTAAAGAGTACCACCAAAGTGAACCTTGTGGGAAAACTTTTGCTACAAAAGCGATGCACTTTTGCCACATGAAAAATTATAGCGTAAAAAGTTCCGAACCCCTCCACTGCCTCAAAGAGAAAATACACATTAGCAACCTGACAAAATGAAATTTATTTTGGAGTGAAAATTAAGGGTTGAACAGAATAAAGGTTGATTGCCAAAGGGTAAGACGTCACCAGTTCCTTTCAAAGTGAATTTATTGAGGGTTGTTTGGTAAACACCACTTCATTAACTCAAAAAATAAAACAAATGCCGTTATCTTTTATGAAATGCATACTGTTTTGAATGACAAACCGGAAATTAACTTTCAAAAAAGAAGCCTTCAAAATACTTTCTTTGAAAGGTGAGAGTAATGAATTTCTTATAATTTGATCAAAAAGATTTAAAAAACACAAATTCCCTGATTAAAAAATTACATAAGCAGTTTAAAAGCAAAAAATTTAAAATACTTTAATTTCTTTCACGTGCGAGCTGTGTTTTTAATACTGATGAGAAATCATCTAAATGACCTTCCCAAGCATTTTCACGGCCAATAAAAAACATAGCCGTAAAGCTCACTAAATGACAAAAAATTTAAAAACCTTAAGTACAGCAGCTGCTTTTCTCGGACGGCCTCGCACTCCAGAAGTCTTCCTGTATTTTTTGGCTGCCGGTGGAATATAATCCGTATCTTCGCTTGCATCTCGTTTCCTTACCGACCCTGTTCCACTCTGTTCCACCGAATCTTTCGAGGTTTTTGACGACCTTTTTGAGACATGAGCTTTAGACACATATTCTTGCCACCTGCTACGTGTCGTTGGCCCTTTCCTAAAATAAATAGTATAAAAAATCTAATACCCTTTCCCTATTCCAGGTGCTTTCACAACTCTTTAATAAAAGAAAAATTCTAATGCAACTACTCATTTAATGAAACATAACTGAATTTTCTTCTAACTACCACCATATATTGATATATGCGGAATGACCATATATTTTCTAGGGTAATATTCTTTAATTCATGCTTACGCGTCCTTATCATCCTCCTCCGATATCTTGGTTACTGAGTCTGCGGAACTGCCATGTCCATTGCTTGCACTATGGTTTGGTGTGGCTGCACGCGCTGCTGAAACACTAGATTCTCTGGAACACACATCACGGGAAGCTTTACTGCTGGAAGAAGAACGTCGGCCATCCGAACCGTTACATGCAGACTTCAGCGCAGGATTCCTTTGTGAGAAGAAATATTCCAACTGAAACTGCGACTTTAATTATTCCTAATCAATGGTATAAATGAACGAAAAGAGCAAATAGAGCTCCTGAAAAAAAAAAAATAACCTTTTGAAAATGATACTAAAGATTAAAACTAGGAAACAGAGAAAAGCAGCTAAATAAATCAAAATTAAAAAACACCCTAGCACGATTTATTGTGTGATGATAATAGGGAACGTAATTACTCGTCCACGAGCATGCATTTTCGCATTCTGCCATCTCATACATGTCCAATATTGCAGATATATCTAAGAAAAAAGGAACTTGGCAAAAA